ATGTTAGCAGTTAATTCTAAGCAATCTTATTTTGACTGTAGGTAACTCGTGATACCTACTGAAACTCTTTCCATATTGGCACAAAAAGACATTTATTTTGCTTTAACTAACTGCAAAATATTCCATTGCATGCAAGTACTATAATTTATTTAATTCACTCTCTATTGACAGGCATTTGGGTTGGTTTCAGGCTTTTGCTAGCCAAACAACACTGTCATGAGCATACATAGATATCATTGTATAGTTGGCATATTGATAAAAAGCATAAATTCTGAGGAAGAATTGCTAGGTCACAGGACAGGTACATTTCAATTTTGCTAAACTAGTGACATGAAAACCTACTTCTAAATTGTACTACTAGGTCATGATTTTATTTTAAAGACAAGAAATCCTTTCACTCTCTTCTAGGATAATGCATCTTTCTGAAAGAATATTATAGGAATTTGATATTTATTAACTTCTAAGTTTTATTAACTAGCTTATAATATTTTTCCTTCAAATTTTAGACATTATTGACTATTGCCAGTATTATTTATGTTTTAATGTACAAAATCTTTTATTTATTTTTGAATACAAGAAGTTATATTTTCAAAGTCAGTCATAATTTCGCAGCAGATATGGCATGAAAAATTCCCATAGACAGCTGAGAGCCCATAGTTCTCCAGCCATTAGCATGGCATCTCTTTTCCTAAGATCTTCACCTATTTCATGCTAGGAAATGGGAAGAATGAAAACTTTAGAGTTTGCTAGAGTCAGTTTTGATTAGGGTTTTCCCCTTAATATACTTATGAATTTGGACACGTTCCATAAATCCATGAAACTCTGCACCAGAAGAGGATGGTGTAAACGTTCAACATTTTGTGAAATCTACTCTCCTCACATCTGTTGCTAGTTGTGAACAGACAAGAACAGGAGGCAGTCCCTTTGGTGACTCACATTCAAAAGATGAGGAAGGATACTGAAGTGGAAAGAGCACTCCAAACCCAAATATAAATGTTCACCGTGCTTCTTCCTGTCTGAATAATCTTGGGTGTGGCTAGTCTTTTTGCATTTTGTTTTCTCCATCACAGATGAGGATAGAAATCCTTGGGGCTGGAGTAAGGATTCCAGGTCCTTTGTGTGAAGTAGGCCGGGGATACAGTAGGCTCATAATAGTGGCACTTAGCACTGTTTTTGTGTGTGACTAAAGACCATAAATGAGTGGTTGTCATTTGAGCTCACTATTTTCTCCTACTGTATTTTATATAACTTAGACGAATCCCCCCATATTTTCGCATCTCTGAAAATGGTGTCCAATTTAAAGTCAGTAATGACTTGTACTTACTGCAGCAGCTACAGTCATGATGTCTTTGAGATTACCTGTGCTTGTGAGGACTTGGTGGTATGACTATGGAACTACAGCTTCTGAAGGTCTCAGTTCATAGACCATGTAAAGGAAGGACCATCTTAGGAAGAAACAGGATTCCTGCTTATCATGTAAAACCGGTTTTTCCCACTCTTGCCATTCCATTGTCATAGATTAAGAAACTAGTGAGTGAGGGGAAAAATGGGTTAAGACTCAGAAAAGCAAGGCCCTTGAGAGTCTTGCTGTATCATCACCAGAGAAAGATGGTACAGACATAAAGCATAACGAACTATAGAAGGCAGTCTATGGCTGGTGCCAAGAAATAGCACAGACCCCATTAATGCTTTAAGAGACAACAAAAAGAAAAATCATTGGGAGGGCGAGGTTTCTCAAAAGGACAGAAACTTCATGAGACTTTAAAATGAGGATAGAACTAGGGAAAGAAAGGACCACCTTTCTGGAATGTAAGATAGCTGGGACAAAGGAGCAGTAGGACAGATAGCCAAAGAGTATGACAAAATATAAGTAGGCTCTAGATTGACACATCAGGCTGACCAGATGAAGGGAATACAGTAATAAATAGGAAAGAGATGTGTAGGTTACATTATAATCTTAGAGTTGCCTTGTAAGTTAATGATGTGAATGCTTATGAATGATTGCCGTTTAGGCCACTGAGAATAGTAGGGAAATTTCTTCTTCATGGATGATTTGATCTAATTGTTCAGAACTAGAAGAGGTCTCAAAAGACAATTTGTCATGATACTTGACTTACTAGAAACAATGGCATAATTATCAGCCACTCAAAAATGAAGAGCATTATGTTTGGCAGATGTCCTTTAAGTGTAATTAGTTCAATTTGATAACCCCGGGAAATGAGTCAATTCATTGGTTACTGAGAAGCTTTTTAAAAACATTTTTATGGCTGTGGTGGAAAATTGATAGCACCTGGTTTGAAGATCACATGCTAGCCAGTATTAGCCTCGCCATATAGTGTACAACGCTTGAGATTTAGCAATTAGTTTTTTGTGACATAGATCCAGACTGTTTCTTCAGACAAGCCTTCCTGGTGTTGAGAAAGTGAGCCTATGGATCTGAGTGAGTAATGCAACTCATGTCGGTTACTCAGTGCCAAGAAAGGTAGTACTATCCCTCTCAGTAAGACTTGAGACCCTGACCACTGTATTGACGTTTCAACCTGCTCCCGCTTCCACCATTACTACACCTGTTGCTGTGTTTTCGTTTTAGTTCCATAGAAGATTTTCATCTTCTAGCTTGCTGTAGAATATTCATATTTATTAAGTTCTTGTTCGTTATGTAGAGTCTTATCTGGCTAGAATGCCTGCTTCGTTAAGGACAGGAATTTTAGTCTGATCCACGTATTTCTGAATCCTGTGAGTGAGTGTAGAATAGTGTCTGAGGCATGTACTCTTCAAATATGTAAAGGATCATTACTTGGATAAGTGAACTCAACCACAGGAAGTCTGCAGTGCTGTGCAGGGGACTATTGCAGCTTCTGAGATCAATTTTGTATCTTGCTCTGTGGCTTCATTTTTCTTTTATTCTAGAAATTTATGATGTTTTAATAGAGAAGGAGAACAAGTAATGTTAATATTATTGTACGTACACACTAGGCAAACACTACCACTGAGATACACACAACTCCATCTCCATTTGAAAAATACTACTTGAGATCAATATGTACATAGCAATATGTCAGTGATATGTCTGATGATGTCAGGGTTGATCTTTTTACTTGATTTGTGGACCGGATAGAGTTTTGGTTTAAAAAAGCTGACAGAAGGGGCCAGGGATGTAGCTCAGTGGTTCCACCACCTGCTTTGTAAGCCCAAGGTCCTGAGTTTGATCCCCAGAACCACAACAACAACAAAAAAAGCTGACAGAAGAAGCCATGAGGATATTCTTCTTTCTCTGATTTACTAAAAAATGACTCTGTCTATTGCTGTAAGGCACTCCAATTTGAGACTGGGATTATGTATTCTGGCATTTAAAATAACCGAATTGGATATAGCAGTTTATTTCCTGAATTTCAGCTTTCACAAGGAGATTCTTATTCTCCACCACCCAACTGAATTAATTAAATTCACACTGAGCCCACTGCTTCCCTCAGATTAAATCATGTTGCAATGTTTTTAAGCACCACAACATTTCAAAAAGAGTCCTGGGGGAGAAAGTAAGTCAAATGTGGACTTATATAGAGACAGAACTTTCCAGTGGTATCTTCTAAAGGTGAATGCTAAGTATTTAACAGAATTACATGATACTTAGTTGCTGAATTTAAATTTCAAGGGCAGTTTTTAGTGTTGTATCTTATGTCATTCTCAGTCTAGCATGTATGAATAGGGAGATGCTAAGCAAAAATCTGAGGGTGCTTCTTAACTACATTGTCATGACAAGGGAACAGAAGGGGAGGAACATTTTATCTCCTCCTCTGACTTAATGCTTTTGGAAAACTCCCCAAATTTCACCTGTTTATATCATTCTTTGCTAGGTATAGCTAGTAAGTGCTTTGCTGTGCTTTAAGTTATAGGTCAAAAATAAGGGGCACTTGGCACCTTGTTTCTCAGCTAGCTTAATACGAATGGATTAATTGAGTAAACACCTTGGTTCACGAACACTTCTGTTTGCAGACAATGCAGTGTTTGGCATAATTTTACTTCTGTTCCCAAACTACATGACCACGCCATCTTCCTCACACGAACACAAATGCAGTCATCTTCTCCCAAATTATAACACACATCGTTTGTAAACTGAGGCATCACTGTATTATTTTTATTATATCTTGTATTGACATTTTTATTTTAAAAATAAACAGATCATACATATACAGCTCAACAAATTTTACAACCTGAGCTTATCTGTGTAGCAACACCAAGATCTAGTAACAAAATATTGTCCACAGCTTATAAACCTGTCATTTTGAGCCCTTCCAGCTGCCTCTCACCCTTCAGAAGTAACTACTCTCTTCACTTATTACAGATTAATTCCCTCTACTCTTCTATTTGATTAAATGGAATCACATAGTGCATACTCTTTTGTGTTAGCTTTTTACGTTTTATTATGTTTATGAGATATATTTTGCATTGTGTTTAACAATAGGTCATTCATTCTCATTGCCATACCCACTATTATACTGTGAGGGCACTGCAATTTATTTATCTTTTCAACTCTCAGTGGGCATTTGGAGAGTTTCCAATGGGGCAAGTGTGAATAATGTTGCTGTGAACATCCTAGTACAGTGGTAGTGAACTCACAGCACGTGCGCCACAGTAGGCTGCTTCTGTCAATGAAAACACTAAAAGTTTCACCATCACTGTGAATCTAGTGCACGGAGTTATGGTGGAAATCCACAGGCAATTCATTAGCTATATACCTAAAGGTGAGATTTCAGATTCGAATCTGCTAGAAGTTAACTGATTATTTTCCCAAAAGGAAAATATACATATGCATGGAGAGGCAAAAATATACGATGATGGTAGCATCTAGTGATAGCTATCTATTCTTGGGAAATTTTGCTCTCTGAAATGAAAGCATCTAAGTGCTAAGTCAGGCCATCACTTCTCTTTCCAAGAAATTATCGTATTTGTATCTGCCTCTCCAGCAGTCATCTAAGAGGTCAGAGGAAACCATAATGGAAATTCACACTTGTATTCACTCTCCATTTGTAAAGCGCTTCATAGATACTAACTAATTAATCCTCCGCTTCTTTCTTGCTCTCCCACCATGAAGCAGGTGGCATCTCCATATTACGTCGCTCATTTGCAGAAAGATAAACATAAGAACAGCTTATGTCATATCCTTACCGAGGTCCAGGAGTGTAAAGTAAATACTGTGCTGCCTGGGGCCTTTGTGAAATAAAATTACCACATATTTTGAGCCTGAAAATCTAAATCGCATAAATAGAGCCACTGAAGACCTTTTGTCACATGTGACAGAAAAGATGGATTCCTCAGGGAGTTTGTTTACTACACTGTCACAGCGGCTTCTCATGAATATCCATGATGTGCAAGCTCCTGGGAAAACTGGAAGAACAGTGAGGAGAAGAAAATGACTGTGTGTGCTTAAACACAGGCCCGAGCAAAGGCTATGAAGGCGGTTCCTCCGGGCTTCCTCCACCCCATCCAAGGTACAAAGTTAAATTATTGACAAAAATGACACAAATTTGTAAATACAGAGAAAAAGGCAATATCTGGTTCTTTGGGAGTTTGTGATTAGAAATAGACATTTTGTAATGAATTTCTTCTGAATGATTAGAAAATTACAACATTCCATGTAAATTTACGTAGAATGATACAGATACAGCGATATAGATAGATATAGAGATATAGATATTACTCACTTGCCAAATTTGGGTTAAATTGTTATTTTCTAATGCGAAAAAGCCTGAATCCATGAAAATGTTATTTTATATTATGATTTATAAAAATGAAATAATCTACTTTAATTTTAGATATAACCTGCCTTGTAAAGGCAGGAGCCAGGAAAGTAATCAGAATTAGCAATTATACCAGGTGAAAAAGAATTCTTCCTGAGGCTACGTTCTGCTCTGGTTCTATGTTCAAGCTTGCTCTGGTTTCCCAAAAGATTTAAAAAGACTTTTTTTTTCTTTTTTGCACATTGAGGATACTGAAGGGTCCTTCGGGCATTGAAGACAAGCAAAAGAGGAGAAATGGGTGGTTATTAGGCTTCGTACAGAGAAGAAATTAAGAAGCTTAATGTTAATTTTTTTTCTGTTCATGTAGGTACTTCTGGGGTGAAAACCCCATAACAAAAAGTATTAAAGAATAAAAGAGCCACTGCCCTTTGTAAATAAGCAGCAGGGATGTATCAAGTAGGCATATGTCTAAAGAAGGAGATAGACCAAGAGAATGAGCTTCTACAATAGATTCCATTGAGCTGTTAACAAGATCCTGCCTTCACCCCAGCATATGGAAGTGCCCCCCAACAGTGCACTGAACAAGAATGAAAGGTAGTACTCTGCCTATATTTATGGTGTATAAGCGAAGACATGGTATGTGTTACAATTCTGAGAATGAAAAGAGAACTCAAAACTGGATAAGAAGTGGGAGCTGAAGCCAAAAGGCCTAAGGAAGGAAATCTACCTTAGATGATTAGAGCCTGGACTTTCAGCACTAACTTGTAGCAAAAGGTAAGCAACTCCTATGAGAAAGGAGTTATGTTTAAATAGCGTTTGAGGAGTAGAAGTTAATTCAGGGAGGAAAAAAGACACCAGGAAGAAGAAAAAAAAAAAAAAAAGGAAAAAAACACCAGTAGTGAAGTGGGCAAAAAAGACAAGGCAAAAAAGACAATGTGAGCTAGCCAGGATCAGGGGCACAGCACACACTGAAGGGCAAGGCAGATGAGGGTTGGAAGGTCATTGGTACTGAGAGGGGGAGTGGTTGCTGAGTGTGTGTGCGTGTGTGTGTTTGCTGCTCCAAAGTGAGTGGCGTGTGAAGTACTAGAAGTTGCTGAGGTAGAGGAGGAGTAGCAAGTAAAGGGGGAAACAATAGAAAAATGGAACAGTAGCCAGAATAGTTTCACTTGTTGGTGGTTGTTTTCTATTTGTTTGTTTGTTTGTTTAAAGATAGAAGACATGTTTATAGGTTTGTAGGAGTGCTATGATAACACAGAAAGAGAAATAGAGATGTTGAAATGTGAATTACAATAATGGAGCTGAAATCATGAAGAGGCCTAAAGGATTGGGTTCATTGGAAAATATGTGAACTATTTCTCAATATTTCATTATCTTCCAGCATTGCTATTGCTGATGAGAAGCTCACTATGATGCCATTCCTTTGTAAGACATTTGCCAGTATGTCAATTTCCTCTTTTTTACTTAACAGATTATTCTAAAATGTACCCACATAAAATAGTGGATACTTAATTATCTTACAGACTTACTGTGGGTCCAGAACCTACTGATAGCTTAGTTCAGTGCTTCTGGCTTAGGGGCTCACATGAGGTGGCAGTCAAATGGTGCCTGGGAATGAAGGCTTGACTGGGGCTGACGGATCCCTCCCCCACCCCACAAGCCAGTGCTAGTTGTTGACAGCGCAGTTTAGCACCTCTCCATAGGGCTGTTGAATACTCTCACAACATGGCAACTGGCTTCCCCTAGAGAATAGGTGAAAACAGAGAGAGAGAGAGAGAGAGAGAGAGAGAGAGAGAGAGACACACTATGGTCACATTCTGTTGGTCAGAAGTCCCTACATAGAACCCACACTCAAAGAGAAGGTAATTAGCCTTTGCCCTTTGAAATAAGAAATATTAAAGAATTTGTTGTATCTTTTTAAACTGATACTAAAAGCTAGATCTTGAACTGGAAACAAGAAGGTGGGGGACTTCACATTGGAGATGTTTAATACGCTTGGGTGATCTGAAATTCAGCAGATATGAAGCAACAAAATTTGTGCCTACCATGCCAGGCTTTTCTGTAATCCTTGCCTGGGAAGATTTGTGCACTTCTGAGCCTATTATCACTGGGCTGAATCTGCTGGCATCTACGATAGCATGGAGAGTACTTGCACCGCTAATGGAATGGGGAGGAGCGGGAGCGGACGCATCCACGACTCCATGTGTTGCCTCATTTCTTGGCAGATCTCCTCAGAGAGTACTCTCTGGTGTGGCATTTCACGGGAGAAACAAGGCTGCTAGTGACAAAGATTCTGTAATCTCTGCCCTTTGTTGTGCTGGTTAGAGCAGGCCCACCCTGGAGAAGTGGAAAGAGCCTGACTTGAGGTGACGCTTCCAACGCAGGCGTACTAAACTGAGGTGAAGTTGGCCCTCCTTCTGTTGCCATTTTCCCTCAGCGAGCTTGGAAGGAAGAGAATTAATGAGGCTCATTGTGTATGCAAGGGTAAGCACAGTTTGTGTTGAGCTAAGTCTAGCAGAAGCTGAAAAAGCATATCTGGCACAGTTAAGTAATTAGACTTCACATTTCTCACATTTTGTAAGGGGAAAAAATGTCTTTGGTGGAAAGTGTCTTTAAATTCATTTTCCACAGACAAAAAAGGCTTTCTAAGCCCAATCCCGGGCTTACTCCTTTGTTGACCACATTTAAAATGAAGGTGGAAATCAGGATAGTTGTGTTCAAGGTAATGTGTATGCTCTGCAATAAAAGGGTGACTGCTTAAGGAACATAAATGATGCCAGGATCTTGACTAGAATTTAAATCCAGCACAATATAGATTAATATCAAATGTGGAAACCAGGGCAATAATGAAAGCGTCTCTTTTCTTTCTTCCCAAATGATTGGGAACACCTAGAGAATGGTGAGTATATTTTCCATATATTGATTAAAATATAGCCTTTGGAACCAGATTGCCTAGGTTTAATTCTGGCTCTGGTATTTATTGTCTGTGTGGTTTGGGGCAGAGTATCTTTAACTTTACCTTAATTTCCTCATCTGTAAAATGCAGAAAATAACAGTATCTGCCTCTTAGGGTTATTTTGAATAAGAAACAAATAAGTTTATGTAAGTCATAATAAGACAACAACTGATGGATTACAAGCACTGTAAAGGTTAGTTACTTGTATGACTATCAATTATTATCAAGAATAATGTTATACAGAGAGCAGATACTGAATAAATATTTACTATTTGAACTGAACACCAAGGATCCACCTCAAAATCTGTTAGGAAGGGTTGCTCTTTCATCTTCATTTGTGCTACACACACACACACACACGTGCGCGCATGCATCATGTTCCTGTAGCACTGTTATTCTCTATGCATAATAGTGTTCTATATCTGCTACCCCTTTGAACTCCCAACATATTAAGGGTAAAGTGCATTATTTTTTCTATTATCACCATCTATCTCACAGCCTGGCATATAATAGGAATATTTGTGTATAGAGCGATTGATTCATTAAAATTACTCAGCAAATATTTACCAAGTACCTACTGTGTGCTAGCTACTTTATCTAGGGCAGGAACGACCAAGACAGACATTGTCTTTTATCTTTTTTTCTCTAATGGAGTTCACAGTGTAGTAGAGGTGTTTCCAAAATCCCATATCACTTCAAGACGGGAAAGAGAGGTCAGGAAGGCAGTGGGCAGTGTTTACTGACTCCTGTTCTTTATCAGTTAGAATATATTATACAGAAGAAAACCCAATGGATAGTCACTTAAACCTGAAGGTCCACATATTGTTCAATTAACAAACATTAATGTTTGATAGTTCTGAAGACTGTTCATTGGTTCCCTGACATCAGAGGGATTGGTTAGTATATCAGCAGCTCCACTGGGCTTCTCTTCAAGGTAGCAAGATGGCTACCAAAGCTCCAGGCATCATACTACCACCATCTCTAAAGACAGGAAACATGACAGATTTCCATGTACCCTTCTCTTGTTAACAAGGAAAATAACCTTTTCATAGCCTCTCCTATATATCTTTCCCTATATATCGTTGTCCAAGATGGGGGTCACAAGGCACCCTGACTTCAAGGAGGGCTGGGAAATTGAGTTCTTGGTCTGTAACCTATAACAAGAAATTTATTTGGAAGTTTGTTCAGCCCATAAGAAAAAGTGGTTGGGAATGGCTTTTGGGTAGCCAAACAACAAACAGTGTGTTCCACTCTTTAGCTTGTTCTCCTGTTATCCTTTCCTGTTACCTAAGTACAAGAAATTGTGCAGTGACATTCTGTACCCCACTGTGTTTCTCTCTTTCACCTGTTAAGTGAGGAAAGAGTAGATGATGCTTGGGGCCTTGTTCAACTGTGTTTCCAAGAATCAGTTAATCTATTATCATGAATGGCAAGACCTCTCCACACCCAGTTTACACTTCTCTGTGCAATTACTATGTGCCAGGCACTCTGCAC